TCCAGCCTAGGCCATTCTGTGATTCTGTGAGTGATCCTGTGCTGGCACTTCATGCCCAGTCAGCTGTCTTGCCTGTTGCTGTCATGTTCTCTCTGTAGCAAGTGGAACAGAATAACCAAGCAGCCTAAATGATCAGAGTCCTTCTTTGTGTGGGTCTGTTCTGGGCTGACCCAAGTTGCCCCTCAGATCGGTGCTTCTGGGGAGACTGGGTCACAGGACTCATTTTAGTCAGACTCCTGTCTGTATGCATTGTACAACAGGCAGAGCTGTAAAGTTCTCCCACAGGAGGTGCTTGCTGGTTCTCCAGTCGTCCTGCTTTTCAAACTCCTGAGCCTTGCCAGAGTGCTTGTACTGGTGCCGTATCAGTGGCAGATGTGTTGTGAGTGTATTAAATAGGGGCTTTACTAGGTGATTCTGCCTCCATTTTCCATGTGAAGATGAGCCTCTTGTGGCTGCTTATCTCCTAATCTTGGGAAAACAGATGGAACATAATCAGAATTAAATAACTTTTCTTCTAAGCCGCTCTGAGGAGCAAGTATGAGCTGTAGGAGTCATAGAATGAAACGCTAGCCATGGAGCATCCTGACTGCTAAAAACACACTGCCTGGAGTGCACTGAACTGCTAATATTCAGCTTCCTTGTGTATCTCTCATTTTTAGGTAGCTGTTAAAATCTGTTGTGAAGTTGGACATTGAGCAACGCAACCCTTGACACAGCTACTCCCTGCACTTGCTTTAACTCCCCATGCTTACAGTGCAAATGTGCAGCTAATGCTCGTCTTTGCCACAGGTTGCAAATGCCGAAGAGGCAGGAGCAGTTGGTGCCCTGATGTACCTGGACCCCTTTGATTACAAGAACACAGATACGCTTGTCCCCTTCGGACATGTGAGTATACAACTGGCTCCCTTGTTTGTTCTCTGTGGACTGCCAACTGCAGCAGCCCTTCTGCAGGCCTCTGGCTCAGCACCGCTTCTTGCACTTGTATAGATGAAAACTGTTGGGCTCTGAGTCCTGATGACTCCTCTTGATTTTCACAGGCCCACCTTGGAACTGGAGACCCTTTCACCCCAGGCTTCCCTTCTTTCAACCACACCCAGTTCCCACCAGTGCAGTCTTCTGGATTACCTCGCATTCCTGTTCAGACTATCTCTAGCCGAGCAGTAGCCAACCTGTTCAGGTAACCGTTTCTCCTGACTTGCAGGCTAGGCCGTTGTGGCCCTCTTGCAAAGTGTTGAGGTGCTGAGAGAGCTCCGGGAGCTCTCTGCTGGTCCCTGCTGTGTATCGCAAGGAGCACTTTCTGGAACTGGGTGGAGAAATGTTACTTGAGTCCATATCTCATGTCTTAATGGCTGAACTTAATGTCAGACTCCTCTTGGCCTCTGCATCCTACCTGTCCCTGCGTGATTAGTGGTACAGGACAGCCTGCTATTTCCTGAGCATGCGCTGAGCAAGGATGCGCCTGCAGTTGCAGGCTTGTTTGTTTTGTTTGGTTTTTTTTCACGTAATAATTAAATGAGGTCGAGCTGGATGATGAGTTCAAAGGATCTCTCTTTTCCTCTCAGGAGAATGGGTGGAGATGAATGCCCTCAGGAGTGGAAAAGAGGGATCTTAGGATGTAGGATGATGCCCAGAAGCACAAGTAACATGACAGTTAAACTGACCGTGAACAACGTCATGGTAGACAAGAAGATTCTGAACATCTTTGGGGCTATTAAAGGATTTGAAGAACCAGGTAACAGCAACTGCCAGGTGGCTCGGGCTTGAGGGGAACCATTCCTCTTTGGTCTTCAGAATGTGACAGCTGCTCCCAGACAGAGACAATCACTTTCTCAGCAAAGCGAAGACCCTTACCTAAGAGGCAGGGAAAAAGCTGAGCTGTGCTGCCAGGAAAAGGCGAAATGAAATAAAGCAGCGTACTGGATTTGGAGGTCACACTCCATACTCTGTTCCTAGTACAGAAGCCTAAAGCTGCTCTTCTCATAAAAGGTATTTTGCAACCCAAAGCTTACAGCTTAGATCTTGATATCTCCTTTATAGATCGCTATGTTGTGATCGGAGCCCAGAGAGACTCCTGGGGCCAAGGAGCGGCCAAGGCTGGTGTTGGAACTGCCATATTGTTGGAACTTGCCTATGTGATCTCGGACATCGTGAAAAATGGTAAATATTTGTGTTCAAAACTGTGGGGATGGGGGGATGATGCAGGTTTAGCTCTGTGTGTGTTACCACTGGAGAGCCTAGTTGCAAGATAATCCTTTGGGAAGGTGTAGAAAAGACAAAGTTTCCTGGGAAGCTATTACTTGTCCAGCATAGGTAACTTGTCTGCAGTGAGCACTCGCTTCTGAGGGACTACCTGCTTATATCTGGTGTGACTCGAATGCAGGAATATCCTTGGATAGCGGATGATGCAAACCTCTAAGTTGAGATGTTTATTGGAGGAGCTGGTCCTGGAGGTGGGAAAAAACTGAAGTGGCTGACCACCTGGAGTGGTGGAGACTGCATGGTGCTTAGTGTGGGTGATTGCCTCCAGGGTTAATTTTGAACTCGGGCAGCTAAACAAAAGAAAAAAAAAAAAGAGAAATGCAGACAGCACAGGTTTCCTACACAGTTCTGCAACATGGGAGGACAGGGCACAGTGTCTGTGCAGCCACTACTGTACATGTTTGTCTGCAGCAGCCAGAATGCTTCAGCTCTGAGGAGCAGTCCACCAACTCAGGCCCTTGGTGCTGATCTGCATCACCATGGAGTGAGAGCAGACATCTAATTCTTTCTCTCTTTTCTTTGCAGGTGGCTACAAACCAAGGCGCAGCATCATCTTCGCTAGCTGGAGTGCGGGAGACTATGGAGCTGTGGGTGCTACTGAATGGCTGGAGGTAATGTTTTTCTACAGACTTCTGCATGGTGACTGTGCAGTTCCTATTCTTTTACATTAAATATCCTCCGTGTTGGACTGCTCCTGCTCATTTTAAAATACTTGTTTTGTTCTAGGGGTACTCTGCCACACTGCATGCCAAAGCCTTCACTTACATCAATTTGGATGCTGCAGTCCTAGGTAACTTGCTACTCTTCAGTTCCTTGAAACATGAGTGGGACCAGAATAGCTTGACAGGAATCCCTTTACCTCAAGGAATGGGAGCTGTGCCAGAGGTTGATGCTAGGTGTTTGAAGAAGACTGACATGGCTCTGTTTATTCTCCTCTTGTCATTGAAGCTGGGAGGCTGCTGCTGCTTGTGCAGCAACTGCAGCTCTGCTTGTCCCAGTAGACTGTCCTGTGTCTGTTGAAGATCCTTTGGCCACAAGCTGAAGAGCAGTTGTTGCTCAGTCACAGGGCTGAGCAGCTCTAGCAGTAGTGGTTAATTGTGCCGGCATGTCAAACACTCTCTCTTTTTTGCAGGTTCTAACTACATGAAGATTTCAGCTAGCCCATTGCTGTACACATTACTGGAGAGAACTATGAAGGGGGTGAGTTGAAAAGTCTTGGACTAATCAGGGTGACTGTGGTTTTAAGGAGAAGCTGAAAGCAGCCAGAGATGCCTGGGTAGCGTTTCCCAGCTGGCACCTTCTGAGGAGAAAACCCCATTTAGGACAAAGGGCTGAGATACTCTGGAGGGCCCTGTCTGAAGTCAGCTAGGCACTGGGAATTGCAGTTCATGCGTGTAAAATCTAAAGTCAGCAAATGCCACAGTTCAGTGGGAGGCGATTGCCTGTCCCACATGAACTGTGCAGGTGTGGAGAAAGGTGAGGGGAGCACACCTGACTCTGGCATCTGCACAGCAATGCAAGTGCAGTGACTGTCATCTCTGTGCAGGTGAAGGACCCAACAAAAGATTCAGGAACCCTATATGACAGAGTTGGCTCTGACTGGATAAAGACAGTGTAAGTATTGTCATTCTGCTCTTTGGGAAAGTAAATCTCCATAAAGGAACAAAAACAAATGGCTTCTGCTCTTTGCTGGAGTGTCATAGTGCTGTGTGGGGCAGGCTCTGCCTGCTGCAGTGGAGTCAGGCAAGCGTGAACAGTGCTGTGCTAGCCATGCTTAGGGCTGGCCCAAGCTGTCTGTCAGCAGCCCAGACCCCTTTTTGTAGGGCAAGAGCAGCCTCATGCAAAGAGTGGGGGCTGGAAATGGACAAGCAGCACTTGGCTGGGTCTCCTTGCCAAATCAGTCTTGTCTAGGCTGGGTTGTCCTGTTAGCTCAGAGCATCAACTCTAGGACTTGTAGCTTTTCTTTTGGGATGTCCAAACCAGTTGCTAACTACTTGATACTGATCTTTGCAGTGTTCCTCCTGGTCTGGATAATGCAGTGTTTCCTTTCCTGGCCTACTCGGGAATCCCAGTGGTTTCCTTTGGTTTCTGCAATGTAAGTGTTGTCTGCCTGCCTGGTGTACTCATTCCATGGAAAGTGCTGTAGGGATATCTGCTCTCCAGGATGATGGAGCACAAGGTGCTGTACCGAGCTCACTGTCCACACCAGAACCTCTCCAGGGCAGGAAATGTAGCCTCTGGACCTGGTGGCTGTGGTAGTACTTGGTGGGAAGGCAACTCCGGGGGCATCATTGTTCTACAGCCTCTGTTCCAGAGTCCTGAATGCTCCTGTTTTGTTGGGAGAGGGGGCACGTGCTCTTCTGGAGGCTCAGATGTCAGTGATTCAGAAGGGCTGAAAAGGGGTCAAGCTATTCCTGCTTCAGTGAAAGACTGTACTACAGCCTGCTGGTCAGCCAGCAAAGTGCATTGGGGAAGCAGTACTGTAGGTCAGAGCAAAAACTAACTTGGACTGTCCAGGTCTGCTGCAGCCAGGTACTGTCAAAAATGGCATGAACCAAGGAGGCATGGATGAGAGCCTCTCTGTTAAGTTTGCTCCACTTGTGAATTCTTGGATTTTGTTTGTCTTGGACTTGTCCCACAAAAGAAACTTTTGAGTTATCCTGACAGGAAGAGTTGTTAGCATGTCCCAAACTGGGTGCTGGGGTTTGCTCACTGCACTCCTGCAGTGAAATCTGAGCAGGGGGGGAAGGTCTGTATGCCCTTGGGTCTAACAAACTAGCAGATTATCCTGGTGATCAGTGAAAACTCTGAGGGAAAAGATGCAGGAGCTCCATTTCCTTCCCCTGTGCTTTGAAGTTTTGCCATTCAAGTCTTGCTGTTTAGCAGCACAAGGACATGGGATGTGATAGAAGTAGCAAGCAAACTGTAGTGGGAGGTGAAAAATCCTAGCTGGAGAAACACTCTTGCCTAACTTCAGTGCCTTCTTTCATGCAGAAAGATGAGGAATATCCCTTGGGCACTACCCAGGACACTGTGACAAATCTGAAGACAATTGGCAGGTTGTATGATCTTATGCGTGCTGCTGCAGAAGTTGCTGGACAAGTAGCTCTGAGGCTGACCCATGATCACGAGCTCTTCCTGGACTTTGAGAGATACAGTGAAGAATTGCTGGCGTTCCAGGAGAAGGTTTTGCCCTACTATAAGGATGTGAAGGTAAAAAGAGCTCCAAGCGCACTGAAATCCCTGTAGACAGTTACAAGACTGTGTGCTAATAAGGCTCTACTTGCCACTGGATACAACAGGGTGAGCACAGAGTGTGGCAAGATGTGACCTGAATTGATGTACCTTGCAGGGCAGTGCAGGCAGAGCAGCTCTGGCAGATAGATTTAGCTAATCTGGCTGTGGTGAGCTCTTGAGGAAATGGATGTGGATGGTTTCTCACCTGGTTATTCATGGCATGGTGCAGCTTTGCTCCTCTGCTGAAAGCCTCCAAGAAACTGTGAGTGGGGAGAGAAATCACTGAGCTCAGTGACCTGCTGGGAACTTGCTCTGCTGCTTGGTTAAACTTGTTAAAAAAAAACAAACCAACACTTTTTCCCTTGGTAGGAGAGCAGAAAAAGAAGAAAATCAGGTTTGCTAACAGCTTCTCCCTCACAGGCATTGGGGCTGACCTTGAACTGGCTGTTTTTTGCCCGTGGTGACTTCCAGCGAGCTACAGATGCGCTGAGGAGAGACATCGCAAACAGTGACAGGGAAAACAAGGTTGTCCGCAGAGCCCTGAATGACAGAATCATGAAGGTGGGTATCTACAGCTGGTTTTCCTTCCTTCATGACGGAAGAGAGTGTGGGCTGGGATGGGCCTTTTCCTTAGGAGCCACAGGCACTGTGCAGACAGGTGTCTCTTCTGGTTGCTTACCGTCACCGTGACTGACTTGTGCACTTGCTATCGGGAGAGGGTCTGGCTATTGCGGAGCTGCTGCAGGAAAGGGCTGGGTGGGGATCAGAGTTGACGAGCTTGTGATGGGGCAGATCAGGAAAGAAAAACTTGAGAGGTTAGAGTATAACCCTAAATATGCACCTCTACTTTAGGTGGAGTATGACTTCCTCTCCCCATACCTCTCGCCCAAAGACACTCCCTTTCGCCACATCTTCTTTGGCAAAAGCTCCTACACCCTGCAGAGTCTGCTGCAGAGCCTACAGCTGCTGCAAAACAGCAGGGACAGCGTGGATGTGAACAAGCTGAAAGAACAGCTGGCCCTGGTGACCTGGACCATTAAAGGGGCTGCCAATGGCTTAGCGGGTGATATCTGGGATACAGACAACGAATTCTAGACGCAGCAAACACCAGGGTAAGGTACAGGATTAGGGAAACCCACTCCCTAACATGACATTATTTTTCTGTAGATCTTTTTTGACCAAAGTTGAGCATAAAATTTAAATCTCACCTTGACAAATTCACAAAAGGCAGTTGTAACGCAGGTACTAAAACTACCATGAAAGCTCTTCTGACCAGGCTCTCATCTGACCACAATCCAAACTGGTCGCATACGGCTGTTTGTGGGGCTTGCTCTCCAGCATACTTGAGAACTAACAGCTCAGGTAAACCGGTACCTTGAGTGGGGAGGTACCTCATCCATTTAGGATTTTAATTGTTGGGCCCCCTAAACCTAGTGACAAAACAGGGAATTTAATTCCTCTTAACACCTGTAATGAAGATCCCTTCTCTGGCAGGGAGCTGCAGAGACCAACCTGTAGTTTAAAAATAAATCAACCTAGTGATAGCCCACAAGTGCTGGATTATCAGCAAGCTCTGAAGTGCCTGGCCTGCCTTTACTCAACAACAGTTGACATCTTGGAGGCTTGCTTGTGCTCGATACCCAGGGAAAATGACCCAAAGATTATCTAATGCCCCCTTTATATCCTTAGCTGGCACCTCAGCAAGTCCTGCAGTGTTGAGAAATGGCTCAAGACTGGCACTTCAGACCTTGCTGCTCTGGGGCCTTTTGTGAAATTGAGTCTCTTGCTGGCCAAACCCTGTTTGACTGATGCCATTTGCAGGATGGCTCTTGTTTGGCACTGAGATATTTATTTGTTTATTTATTTATCAGTGACAGCGTTCACTATAAATGGTGTGTTTTTTTATAGAAGATAATTATCGGAAGCAGTGCCTTCCATAATTATGACAGTTATACTGTCGTTTTTGAATAAAGCAGCATCTGCTATTACAATCAAACATGATACTGGAACTTTGCATTTAAAATAGTCCAAACAGGCCCCTCAAAACAAGCTTTCTGTGGCAAAAACACCCCTCTGGAAGAAAATTGAAGGTGTGAACCTGGTAGTAAGTCTCCAGGTTGTGCTCCAAGGTGATGCTTGAAACGCTGAAAACCTGAGCAGAAGCTCAAATAGTAGAAATTTGGCGTCCCTGTGGTGTCTGTGCCCCTCTGTGGGCTTTGGACTCCCTCTTTGCCCCCCCCCCTTCTTGGATGCTGTGTGCTTGCATGGGGAGCACAGCTTCCTTCCTGGCCCCAGCAGGGAGATTTGCTGTGTAGCCCTCGCTCTACCCTGCAGCAACACATCAAGTGTCTTGTACCTCAGATTAGGCTTTGGCCCAATTTTTAAATGGCAGCTTCCTGCAAACTTCCAGTACCTTATGTATCATGAAACCTAATTGACATTATCGGGGGCAGTGTCTTCCATAATGTGTAAAGAACAAGGTAGTTTTTGCCTACCACGGTGTTATATCGGAGGCAGTGACCTCCATATGTTGCACTATGGGTGTACGTAATTATCGGGGACAGTGTTTCCCATAATTGTTCTATGCTTATCATGCAATGTCATCTGCGAAGCTTGATGGTTAGTATCTAACATGGATCAATTTCCTGCAATCCTATTTTTTCACTCTCCCATGGTGATGCAAATACAAACTTCAATCTGTTACGTACTTCCTTAGACTCTACCTTCTCTGTAGGCTGAACTGTTTCAAATAGCTGTGCTGTCTCAAAGTGGCTTCCTGCCTCCAGTCGCGGAACTGGAGCTTGAATGTTTAGTGGAAACTAGACTAGTTTAAACTGTGTGCTCTGTAGTTTAGTAAACTTCCTTCAAATCAAGTTACAAAGACTTGGGGAATTAAAGGGGAATGTAGGGCTCGGGGCCGACTGCTGTCTGGAGGACTCTGGTCACTGCTCGAGATGGATGTGCATACTGCTTAAGAGGCTGGTGTGCGTGCAGGGGAAGCTGCTAGCTCCCCGTGTTGCACTGGAAGCTCCCATGTTGCCTCCTGGTTGTTATGTGGAAGGGGGAAGATCAGTGACACCTTTCTCAGAGCTCCCTTCTGCTCCCTAACGTGAAGCTGAATGCTGCTGCTGTGTGACACCTGTTCAGCCATGCTGCCTGTTTCCAAAAAGCAGCAGGTGCTCTGCAAACAGTTTGATCTAGCATTTAAACCTAAACCAAGTGAATGACCTGAACCCCAGCAGCAGTCCTTGAGGGAAAGAACATTGTTCAGCTGGAGCGGAGACCTGGGTCTCTGCAAGGAACAGGTGAGGACAGACCCCCCCCCAGCCTAGTTAGTGAGCTCAGTGCTCTTCAGCCTGGAGGACTGGAATTTCATCTGTCTTTCTCAAAGCCTGCTGCCCAGGCTTGTGCAGCTCCTTGCTCTTCCGTAACTACCCTGCTGTCTCCAAGGCACGTGTTACAGCCCTGTCTGTGTTACTGTTTCCTAGTGATACTTCTGGATGGCATTTAAGAGCTGCTGTCTGGGAATCCTCACTGTAGTGTTTGCATGCATCTTGATGTCAGACTTAATCATGCCCTTTATAGCCAGCAGAGAAAGACAGAGCCTGTCTCCTGGCTAGGCAGCCCATCTGTGACTACTGCAATGTCGGGATGCTGTGTTCGGCACTGACTTCTTAACTGATGTGGGGTGCTAAACTCTGTTTCTGGGTTACCTGCTGCCTGCTTTAATAAAGTTTTAAAGTTTGAACACTCTACTCCTGTCATGAGTTCTTGCAAAGCCACAATGCCCTTGTGGCCAGGGGTGAGCTTGGGCAGGTGGAAGGGAGGCTGCTCTCCTGCCCAGTCAGGGCTGGTCACTGGTACAACCTTGTTGATGTGTAGTAGCACAGTCTGAATTTCACTGTGCCCCTCGGCTGCCAGTCCTGCCTCGCTGTAGGCGATCAGCCTGAGGGCTCTGGCAATGAGGTGGAGGAGCAATGTATGCAAGCCCCCTTTCATGGCCTGTCCTGCCTGCTGCCTCTGTCGCTGTGTTGAGCCTGTGGTGTTGGGCTGGATGTCGGGAGAATGAAATGTCAGACTTCCCACCTGCCATGGCTTTGCAGGTCTCTGCTGGTGAGAAGGTGGCTGGGCAGAGCTGTGGGGGTCACACCTGTGTCCCAAAAAGCCAGAGCTTGTCTCTGCCCCTCATCACCAGGCTGGCTCTCCCCTGGGTGAAGGTGCAGGTGGGTATTTGGTTATTTGTGTAGAGCCCCAGGCAGCTCTATGGGAGTGGGAGCTATGGCCCCAACACTGCTCAGAGGCAGACCATACTGGTTTGAGGCTTTGCGTTGTAAATACTATTTTTCTCCCCTGTTTTCACCTCCTGCTTTACAAACGCTGTGTCCCGTGAAGATGCACCCACCGTTTGGGGTGGGAGGCAGCTTCTCCAGGAGCCCTGCTCGTTCCATGCAGGCTGTCCCGGCCTTCCTCCTGTTCCTCTTCCAAGGGGAATGATTTATTCGTTTGGAAACACGTTGTTTCCCGCATCTCCCTGCCCAA